TAATGAAAATGACTATGGATTTTAAAAGACCATCACTTTCAAAATCTTGATCAGGAATGGTCTTAATTCATTTCCATGGAGAAAAACCTATTTTCAAAAAGTTATGTGCATGGAAGTGTTACACACATTCCATAGTAACCTCTTCTCTAATATACAGTGACCCTATATAGAGTTTCTAAGATTAAAAATCTATGGGAGCAGCCCCATGTTTCTCCCAAGCAGCAGCTAATGGATTAGAATCACTGACTTTACAGTTAGCAGTCCCACAAGTAGGCCACAGCACCACTACTTCCGTGTTTTCTCTGATGTCTTAAACAAATAGAACTGTCAGTTTCTGTCAGTGTCGTGGGATGAGAAATGCTAGGAAGCATTTTATTCCCACCACACCTACAACAATCTGTGGAATGAGTGAGTAGACAGATCTAATATGAAAAACATACCAAAAGGAGCCACTTATTTTCATAGAACGTATGCAGTAAATCAACTGTAAACCTTCAGTCAATCAGCAAAGAGACTAACTAAACATTCCAAGGTCCCGAAGCCAAAAGCAAATCAGAATCCCAAAGAGTCATCAGTGAGGTCACAGAAAGCTCTAAATTCCACAAAAACAACCAGGTTAATAATGTAGTATACATGATCTATTCTGAAAGTTTTCATCTTACAAAGATATATGAGTTCAGAAGTCAACTCTAGCAAATTATCGTGTTCAAAGAAATGAGGAACAACAGGTCTATTATTACAGAGGAGATGAAACACAAAATAATACCTATAGCAGGCAGTGTAAGACATGAAAAAAATAATAATTTATAAATTATCAAGGGTTCATGAGGGAGGGGGGGATGAGTTGATAACCAAGGGCTCAAGTACAAAGAAAATGTTTTGAAAATGATGGCAACGTGTACAAAAGTGCTTGAAACAATGGGTATTTGTATGGATTGTGATGAGTGTAAGAGTCCCCAAGAAAATGATTTTTAAAAATAATCCCTATAATTTCTTAAATGACTAGACAATCTAACCTCAATTTAATCTCTATCTGGCCAATAACACACAAATGGCTGTATATTTCAAACTTTTGCAGCAGACTGGCCCAATGCAGTGTTTGTTTTGCTTCCTTGTTTGCACTGGTATACCAAACCAAATTCACTGCCATTGAGTCTATGCTGACTACAGAGCAACCCCTGTGGGTGTCCAAGACTGTAACTGTTTACAGGAGTAGAAAACCCTGTATTTCTCCCATGGAACTGCTGGTGGTTTCGAACTGCCAACCATGTAGATCACAGCCCAGCTCATAACCAATACATCACCAGGGTTCCTGTATATTTCAAACTTTTAAGACCACAGGGTTATTTCACAAATTTCCTAATATTTTATCTCAACACAAACTGATACACCAAAATTTGTTATGAGCTCAGCTAATGTAAAGCTGGTTCCATGTTTATTCCCTTTTATAAAGATAATTGCTTTATCCTGCAAACATGCCTTTATCCTACAATAGCATGTAATTAAAAACCCATTATTATTGTTACTAGGTTCCCTTACTATTGTTGTTAGGTACGATTAAGTCTGACCTGTACTGCCTGGTCCTAAACCATCCTCACAATCGTTGTTAGGATTAACCCTTTGCTGCAGCCACTGGATCATTCCATCTTGTTGGTCTCTCTGTTTTACTTGCTACACCTCCATCCTACCAAACATGATAACCCTTCTCCAAAGAATGGTCTCTCCCAACAGCATGGCCAAAGTTCATGAAACCAAGTTATCATTGTATCCTCACCTTAAGGAGTATTCTGGCTATAAGTCTTCAAAAGCAGGGTTGTTTGTTCTTCTGGTAACCCCAGGTATAGTCAAAAATCTTCACCCAACACCACAATTCATGGGCATCAATGTACTCTTCGGTCTTTCCAATTTACAATCCAGTGTTCGCATACATATGAAGAGACTGAAAATACCATGGTTTGGTAAGGCACACTTTAATCCTCAAATTTCTTTGCAAACAAGTGGGCATCTCCAGTGCTACATACAATTCTTGAAACATCTCATTTGCTAGTCCATCAATTCCGGGACCTTTGTTTGTCACCAATTCCATCAGTGCAGCTTGGACTTATTCCTTCAATACCATCAGTACATGACCATAAACTATTTCCCAAAATAAATGAATGGCAGCCAATTATTTTTGGCATACTGGGTATGTGTATTTTATCCATTGTCATTTAAGACTTCTTGAGTTATTTACTATCTAATATTGCAAACAGGAGGCTTGGATTTTTTTCTTCAGCCCTTTCAGATTGAGGAAGGCTTAGCCTGTTCTTCCCCTTCTGGTTCTCTAACTCCAGGTCTTAGCACACTGCATTATAATACTTCACCTTTTCTCGAGGTACCCTTTGCCTTGTTCTCTTCAGCTCTTTTAGGTCATAATTTATCCTACTCACTTTAGCTTCTCTAGAGCTAAAAAGAGAAGTCTCAGAACCTATTCTGACATTCACTTTGATCTTTATTTTCCTTCCTGTCTTTAATGAGCAGTTGCTTTCTTCATGTATGTCCTTGATGCCCATCTAGTCTTCGGTCATTAGTGGTCAGTGTGTCAAACCTGTTCTTGAGATGGTCTCTAAATTCAGGCGGGATATTCTCAAGATCATACTTTGACTCTCGTGGGCTGGCTTTAGTTTTGTTCAGCTTCGTTTGAACTTGCATATGATCAACTGTGGTCCACAGTCAGCCCCTAGTCTTGTTCTGACTGATGACACCGAGTTCTCCACGGGCTCGTCCCACAAATGTAGTCAATTTGATTCCTGTGTATTCCGTTTGGAGAGGCACATATGCACAGTTGCTTATGTTGTTGAAAAGGATATTTACAATGAAGAAGTCATTCATCTTGCAAATTTTACCACATGATCTCCAGCATAATTTCTATCATCAAGGCCACATTTTTCAACTACCAATCCTCCTCCTTTGTTTCCAAGTTTTGCTTTCCAATCACCAGTAATTAGCAATGCATCTGATTTCATGTTTGATCAATTTAAGACTGGAAAGTTGGCAGCAACCTTCAATTCCTTCATCTTTGGCTTCAATAGTTAGTACATAAATTTTTAAATAGTCACATTAACTGTTCTTTATAGGCATATAGATCTGATCAAATCATTGACAATCATATACTTCAAGGTAGATCTTGAAATCTTCATTTTGATGATAAATGTAGTGTCATTCCTGTTCAATTTGTCATGCTGGAATAGTCAGCCATACAATTAATTGTCCAACTCAAAATGGCCAAGACCAGTCCATATCAGCTTATTAATACCTAGAGCATTTCTGTTTATGCATTCCATTCATGTTTTTACAACTTCTCTCCCTCTCCCTGCCCTACTTCCACTCTCTCTCACACATGCATACATACACACGTTTGTGCACATTTTAGACCTATTTAGCACTAGTGGCACTGTCAAGTACGCACTGTACTACTAACTGTAAGGTCAGCAGTTCAAACCAGCAGCCACTCGGTAAGAAAGTTGAGGCTATCTGATCCCCATAAGTATTCACAGCCTGGGAAATCTACAGAGGGTTCATTATCAGTTGGACTGACCCTGTGGAAGTGGGTTTGGTTTTTGGTTAATTAAACAGCATGTTATCCAAAAATGAGAATTCCAACTTGGCATTATATAAAATACTGTAAAATGGTCATAATAACACCTACTTACTGACACTTACTGTGTGAAAATTTATCATTTCTTGAAGACTGTCAGAAAACTTGGTCAAACTTGTCTATGAAAAAGAAACAAACCAAAAAAAAGTCATTAAAAGTTACTAAAATAGGCCACACAAAAAGATGATTTCAACATCCGATAGAAAGGTCAAGTTACATTATAAGTAACAACATTTATTTCCAATGGCATTCTTACTACCTCATATGCATGCTCTGCAGAGAGGTGAAGTATCTACATGTTATAAAATATACAGTCCTACCAATAGTGTTATAGTAACAAATAAGAATGACATATATAAGCTTCAAAGTAAAAATGAGTGTATCAATATTCCTATTTGGGCAACTATGATGAAGCAGTTAGCAAACTGCATCCATTTCTTTATCAGTTCTTATTCCTCACAAAGGAAACATCAAAATAGAACACAATACAGCAAGGGCTCTAGGCTAACCTGGCATAAGTGGCTGAGCAGAACTTGCCTGTATAGCCCCAGAGATGTATTAGTAAGCTAATGCTCTCCACTTGCCCCAGTGAGACGCTACTAGGAGGCATGATCCTGCTCCTGTCCTCTGGTAGATGCTTCAGCACACCTAGGAGCAAGTAAACTTAGGGAAGTGGCTGAAGCAACAGGACCCTGGTTAGGAGTGGTGCTAGATATTTACTGCAAATCAATGACCAACTTCCAGTGATGTAAGAAAACCACGGTTAAGCAAGGTAGCAGCATCAAGAGAGTATTTTTTCTACACCACTATACTAGAACTGTAAATAAAATTACATGTTAGTAAATAAGCCAACCACCTGCTACACTGCCTTTATAGTTTGGGTGCTCTGTTACCCAGGCTTCCTAATAAACAGCCTTTATCTTTAAATATATAAATATATGTTATATAATATATTCATTATATAATTACATATATTCATAAATATATATATATACACACACACTTTAGTGTCTTAGGGCATTTATCATTTTAGGTTGTAATCTGAGTAATACTAACCTCAACCACAGCATCATTACTGGAATACTGCGCCAGGTCTCGAATCCCATTCATGAACTGTTTATTTGCAACACAAAAGGCTTTTCCGGTATCAATCATCGCAATGCAGAGCTTCACAAGCTGAAGAAGGAAAAAAATATATATATATTATTGAGTTAAAAATAATTTTACAAGTGACTTAGCTCAAAAAGTGTTAACATACAGTGAGTGAACATAACTAAAATAATAGTTGCGTTCATCAAGAACACCTAAAATAGCCACAGAAGAATTTACTTTAGAGGACAGCACTGAAACTGCAGCTCGGGAAGAGGGACATGCCTGATCAGAGCACACAGGAGCAAGTGATGGGGGAGGAAGAGATAGTGGAGCGCATCCTGGCCCACCAAGCCTGGAGGACAATATCCCCGCTCAGAACAGCCAATGTACAGAGTGGACCATATGGCTGGCCCCACTATGAAACACAACATCCCTCACTGACCCATGGCCCTATGGGGGACAACACTGGAGACTCAGTGTCAGGATTGGCCTGGTCTGACCCCACCAAACTGAGGCAAAACACTAAGGGCCTGCGGCAGAGCAATGGGGGAAGCAGAGCAGGGAGGTCCTGATGGAGTGCAAAGGATAGACTTTGGGGCCAGGGCATGGCACCCCATTGGACTTGACTGAAGGATATTTCCAGAAGTCAACAGACCCTGAATTATTTACAGGTTTTTCTCTTTTTATTTTTATTTTTGTTTATTTCTTTTTGGTCATTGTTTTTGTTGTTGTTGTTGTCTTCATTGTGTTTTCTTTTGTCACTTTGTCTTGCTATGTCTTGTTTTTTTGTGGATCTTATTATCTCTGTAGGTCTATTTAGATAAGATAGGCTGGATGAATAGTCTCCAGGAGAAAACAACAGACCGATGGTTCCAGGGGGATATGGGAGAGGGGGAAGTGGTGGAAAGGAGGGTGTGTTGACCAGTCCAGGGACAGTGGAACAGCAAGTGATCCAATATTAGTGGCAAGGAGGGTGTGAGAGGCCTGGTAGGGACTGATCAAGGGCAATGTAACGGACAGAAATTACTGAAACCCAAATGAAGATTAAGCATGATAGGGGGACAAGAGGAAAGTAAAAGGAAATAGAGGAAAGAACTAGGAGACAAAGGGTATTTATAGAGGTCTAAATACAGGCATGTACACATGTAAATATATTTATATATGACAATGGGGAAATAGATCTATGTGTATATATTTATAGGTTGAGTATTAAGGCAGCAGATGGACATTGGGCCTCCACTCAAGTACTCCCTCAATGCAAGAACACTTTGCTCTATTAAATTGGTATTCCATGATACACACCTTCCCGACACGACTGCTGAAGACAAATGTGTACAGAAGCAAATGTGGTGAAGAAAGCTGATGGTGACCGCCTATCAAAAGATATCGTGTCTGGGGTTTTAAAGGTTTGAAGGTAAACAAGTGGCCATCTAGCTCAGAAGCAACAAAGCCCACATGGAAGAAGCACACCAGCTCTGTGATCACGAGGTGTTGAAGGGATCAGGTATCAGGCAACAAAGAACAAAAAATCATATCAATGTAAATGAGGGGGAGTGAAGATTGGGGACCCAACACCCATATGAAGGTAACAGGACAT